ACTCGGGATCAATGGCCGAGCTACAAAAAAATATTTTATAAAGAAATCCAGGTACCCACGCACTAAAAGCCTATTGTATCCTAACTGTTCAATATATCAATGAAGCGATAGAGAAACTATAAAACCTTTTAAAGAAAAAAAACGCATCGTGTGTTATAGAAAACTAAAATTGGTTTAAAAGCCTGCTTGTAAATTCTTCCAATATTCCGTACAATAGGCATTTCTACTGTGTCAGTTATGTGTGGCGTGGCAAAACATTGCATTGTTGCGCTTATAAACAATGGCCGCTTAACAATCTGCAATGGTTATCGCATTCACCCAATAGTCGCCCTTCCCTCTCAAGACGACTTCTGATCTCCCTCTAATTGTAATGATTGATTTACATATGTGAGTATTTCTATAATTTCAACACAAAGATAGTTAAAAATATATAATTCTATGAAACGTTTTCTAAAGCTTGCTGATAATAAATCATTTGTTTTAAATCTATCTTAATCTTATTTGAATTCAACAACACTTAAACACAGGAAAACAATTTGTTGAACGATGAATCAATTCAGTTCCTAATAAAATAACATTCGCCTTGACTAATCTTTCTAAATTATTTGACAATACCAGGAAGACTACGTTCATTATTCTAGTGATATTTCCAATTAACTTCTGAAGCCATTAAACTATTGTTTATACTTTACAATAGCATTTTTAACTTGATGTCGCTTTAAAGCCAACTCCACTCAAAGAACATCGAATTCAGACACTTTTTGTTTGTATTTGCGTGTATGCTGTGTCCGTGTCAGTTTATTTGCAAGAGTTCCCCGTAGTGATTACTCTCCCCAGCACCCCAATGCCAGTCAAACAACCGCCGGCAGTGCATTAAGCTATTAGTCGCCAGTTAGTACGTTTCACTGCGAACATCGCTACGTAATTGATATCAATCGAATCTTCACCTATACATATCTGTTTTATACAGACTTAGGCTACATTTCAGTTATACGCATCAGCCAGATATTATTTGTTTAAGTTACTTTAAAACGTTTTTCTCTAGAAAGTCCTGGTTCAAATTTGTTACTCTTGTCACTATGTTATAATTTGTCTACTCTTTATCTATGACGGAACCGGATAATTCTCATCGTAGACTTCACGATATTATCTCCATATTTATCTTAATGAACAATCATTGTAATATAATTCTGAACTTCCAATTATAATTCCTAATTACTTTTAACTGTATCGTAATATAATCTAAAAAGGCTATGAAAAATTTGGTATAAAAATATCATTATTTTTTTTGAGCTCTGTAAGTACATTTATAGGAAAATTTGCGCTCGGTTAGATAATAGCTGAGCTAGTTATTTTTGTGAAGATCACGGCTACGCGGTCGTTGGCCGAGGCGAGCCGTTTGCCCGCTCCTCACTTTGACAAGACACTTTTTTTGCCCCCCACCTCGCTTATGATGTCATCATTAACGTATAACGTACTATAACCGTAACTCGGTTACATCCGTTAATTAACTAAACCCAACAACGTGTTTAATTTATTATCCTATTATCGTATGAGCATTTGAAATGTAGTCGTAGGTATGCAGTGTAGGAGTGGTCAACTAACGTTTGAAAGTTAAGAAAGTTTCTACAGTTCTAGTAGCGTTTACCACTTCAAATGGTGCTTGATGGCCGGAAAATAATACCCTTCGTCTCTCAGCTCGGGATAATGTCACGCCACAGTCTGTAGAAACTGATTGGAAAGCAATTACAGATGTTTAGATTGGATAGACATGTTTCTCTAATACCTATATTTACACATCACACTTTTAAGTATTATACTTTTATATGTTTCAAAAACAACGACAACTTAACCAAAATAACCAATCGAATGCCTTTAGTAACGACAACAAATGACCGTTGATTATAAAAAAATGCATTAAATCATGTTCAGTACAAAAACATTATTATAACATAAACGCGCGCAAAGGATGTTGCCTTATTACTCTTTGTTTTTGTTCCTTTGCAATTTCCCGACCGACTTCCTCGCGGGCTTTAGATTAGATCAACTTCAACAGATGCAGCGGGCAAATATGTACAAATCTTGTATTTATTTAAGCTGATATCCAGAAATAGGATTTGATTAAATTCCCTTTAGCGCGTGTTGGTAGGAGTGGGCGCGAGGCGGCGTCGTCGCGCGGGCGCGTATCGATCGCGCCCGCCGGCCTGCATACGAATACGAGAATCGCCCTCCGTGTAGCCCCTTGCCAACCTCTTCCACCAGAACACCTCCTTACACTACTATAGATTTAACCCCCATTCAGTACTACGCGTTAGTCGCCAACGATTATTGTATTACGGCAAGATTTTATTACTTAAAGACGGTCCTAATATTATGCCATTAATTTGCATAGCAATCAGTTCTCCATTGCCATGTATGGAGATGTTTGGTAAATTATTCAAGACTTATCTGAGCCCAACGTATATTTTTTACTCCCTGTCGAATACAAATCATATTCAATTTTTTATTTAACCAAATAAATCAATCTTTTTGAATCAAAGCGTGAAGCGGTAACTAGTGACTCGCGAACTTTGGATATTGAATTAATGATGGCTAGGTTTTTGGAACTTTTTTTAAATTGTGAGATAATTTACTTTTATATTTTGGAAGTTCTCTGGTGCATTTTATTTAGTCTACCCAAAGAAAACCTACAGCTACGTCACATGTACGATCTAATAACCCTTGTGGGTCACATTTGAAACATCTATATTACGGAAAGCTTTCCCCAATTTGCGCCGGCTCAAGGGAGTCGACCCCATTCCGTGGAAATTGCAAGAACAACATTTACCTCAGCGGTTGACGATGGCCGATGATGTCACAACAATACAATTTACATAAGCCACACACACGACCGACACTCGATTCACTCTAATGAAAAGCATGTTTGGCTTCATGAAGTAAACACTGGAACATTTTACTTTAGGATTACATACAAAACATTTAGACATGCAATAAAAGGCTTAGAAATTCTCTCGGTATTCCGTTACAAGTTTAGCAAAAAAAAAGATTTAGCCAATATTTTACGCCTTCGCCCTCTTCGGCGTATGATAGCATATTTCCTTTGTCTTGGCTATTAAACTGATTATGTACAAGAGGGATCCCCTCTGCAAAATTGCCACAATTTTCCGGCCGACGACGCGCCTACTTATTCCATCGCGAAATGTCGCCGCATCGCCTGCGCCACTAACTAGGCCATCCCAGGCCGGGCTTAACACGGATTTATACGTCGATTCAATTTAACACGGAGCTACGATGTGAAAGATCAAACTTGAAAACAATGAATTCGCTGCCAAGTGGTTTGGCACGATTAAAATTGTGCCAACTAATAATACGACCCAGGTCGACTTCGAAGTTCAATGATCTTGCAGGCAGTACATCGATTTAGATAAGTATCAGGCGCATTGGCAGGTTGTGTCGGAATAGGAAATGAGCGACCAGTAGCATGACGGACGCTTTTGACATTCTACGACTATATGATCTATTGGAGCATATTTACATAACCTGATACTATGCTTGCTGTTGAAATATGATTAATTTAGTTAAAAGAATGACAGGTTTTATCTCCATCAGTTCTTACGTGACAAAGTTTAGATGAACTTCTTGACTATAATGCCATGTAATTTTAATACTTATTCGTATAATTTAATATTCATATGTCACTGTCTTTAACTATAAAGGAAAATACCGGTGTTAAATCTTCAGGTCAGTGAAAATAACCATATTTACTAAAATTATTTTTTTTGTCTTCCGTATATAAATTATGTAGTTAAAACCTAGAACATAGTATCGACCTATACCTACTATATGTAGTATATGCCGCGCTTACACCATGAAATTCAATTGAATATATTTAAAGTTGACAAAAACCAGTTAAATTACTTTACCATTTCGAATTCCTTATTTATTTAAATACATTTCTTATCAGTCAACAACAGGAAGATTGCAAAAAACCAATTCTTATGCGGCTGATAAAAACTTGTAACAGTTTTTATATATAACTTAAATGATTATTTCATGTTTCGCCAAAATGCTATATACCATACAATAGTCGCTTCCGGGCTTTTCCTGGGCACTACACTAATTAATTATTTATAGTTAATTATTACCTAACGTAAAATTAAATTGAAAACTACAGCGACGTTTTAAAGGCACTCTCCAATATTAGATTCGATTCAACATTTTTCATGAATTCCGAGATGATTTTCTGAACTTCTACATAAAAATAAATCTGACAACCCAAATTTTAGGTTCGCTTTATAACGCAAATACTTTCTTTCTAATACCTTTACAAACAAATCAATTAATTGAGACAGTAATTGACAGTAATAAATTACGCTTAAAATACTGGAAAAAAATATATTTCTTTGGAGGATTGTCACGTGGATATAGCAGCTGTATATGCTTAATCACTTACATTTTTTTGCCTACAAGCAGATGTTCCGCAAAGACTAACCGTCGAATATCAGCACGCATGTCACGTAGAATGCGCACATTACCACTATAATTTATTTGTTTACTTCACTTATTAATTCTTTACCTGCATCCAGTTACTTCGGCATTTTATTGCACTACTTCGTTCTCATGGGAATCGGTTTCTGAGAAGTATTTCGTGATAGTTGAAGATTCATTTGTCCATTGCATAAGTCTTGGCGCCGGAACAACGTGTATCGAGCGAACCGGTTTAAAAGAAACGTGTTAGGAGGTCCTTTTTCTAAGTACACTAATATATGTTTCATATTATATATGACATGACTGTCTTAAAATCTTATCGTATAATATGTTATTAAACTAGCACAAGTATAGAAACATTGATGATAAATTTTCATCTTATTAAAAACACAATGGAAAAATATTGCTATAGGTTCGATATATGAAGAGAAGAAATTTAATTAATAATTAAGTAAAATGACATATAGTCTATGTTACCAACGTATCATGAGTACCATTTAATGTTTTCTTACCTTAAGTTTTTAAAAACCGGCGTCAATAAAAAGCGCGGGATAAAGACCCAAGAAGCTTTCGGTATTGTTCACATAAAGTCGCACTGGCACATAAAACAACACAGGGGTATTCACGTAATGCGTGATACGGTGGTCAGGGGGTAAATAATAGGATATTTGAGAGGAGCGTAGAGTGCACCGTCGCAGTGCGGAGGCTCCCGTAGACTGGCGGTTGGCGATGGCGAGTGCCGGCTGCCGGCTACCCCGAGAGCGAGCGTTGAGCGCGATACGCGAGCGACAGCGGATAGCGGTGCGCTCTGTTCAATAAACTTCACACTATACCACCCGTTAAAATTAGGACCTATACGCTTGTAATTCGTTAAAATCGTTTTAACTTTCTTCAAATACATATTGATATCTTTATATTGCTTCGTAGGATGAAGGCCTAAGCCGACAATCAACTCGAATTTTTACTATTCCATATATTATTTGGCAACAATAAGCATTTTCGAATTTAATCGTGGGTAAAAAAGAATAACCCTTTTCTAACATTTGGGATTACTTGGCACAGAATGGTCGATATGCGATTTTACGGTTAGAATTCGTTTGGAAAGCTCGTTCTAATGAACTTTTATAACTTAGATCTTTGAAATTGCTTAGATTTATGTAATTATCATGTTGCGTAATCGGTATTATATTTAATGGTGATTAAATATCGTAGCGGATTTACCCCTATATCCTTCGTATAAGTTTTATTATATCGTTTTGGTTTTGGTACTGGTTTTTGAAGACCAAATACTCGCGGAAGTGGTTCGATTTCCTCTAAGTATCAGTGTTATGTTTCCGTTGCAGCAATAAAACAACATATATATAAAAATAAAACCACAAAAACATGAAACAGAAATACAATTTTTCTCTTGCAAAACTCTGAGAAGATTAATGAGCTTTCTCATAATGAATTGTTTTAGATAAATAACTTGAAGATAAATAACTTAGGTCCGCAAAGTGCATCAGCTATTTAGTAATTTATTTAAATGTATGAAATACTTTAATTATATGAAAATACACGCGTGTGGGTGAGCCCTAATGTGAGGTCAATTCTAATGGGTGGTCGGAGATAAAGATGACTACCTGATACTTCGTATAATATTTATGATGAAATTTTACCAAAGATTAATTGAGGTAACATATGATGAAAGACAGCTGAATTATGAAACTAATTGATAGATAGATGTTTCTTAGAAGGTATCTTCAGGTCGGCTGCATGGATCTCGCTGAAATTTGGCATATTTGTAGAACATAGCTTGGAATAACACATAGGCTACTTAAGGTTTTTTTAACTCCTCGCGAACAGAGTCGCGGGGGACAACTAGCAGATATATTATAGATGTAAGCTATAATCCAGCTTAGATTAGAATGCACTGCCATTATAAGACGGATATGTATTTGTCACTTCCACCGTTTTAGGCAAAGTACTAGTTGTAATTTACATAAAAAATTAGGTTGTTTTATTCAAAATATCATTACTGTCTTATTATATTTCCTTATGAATCTCTAATAATCTTGAAATTAGAATAATTTTACATAAAATGTCAAGTTGGACGCCATCACGAGCCGGTTTCCGTTTTTAAGTTTACGCACAGTCGTGACTGCAATAAATTGTTTGGAGTTGTATTAAAATGCACACATAAATTATGACCAATCTATCAATTGAAAACGCATCGGGTAAAAAGTCATATGTAGTCGTGTTTCAACATGTATTACTTGGCTCCTATGATATTTTTTACCAAAACAGTATAGTAAAATATTAATTTTGATTTAAAAATAACTATAATATTATATATTAAACCTTAACTAGCTATACATGTATGGCTCGTAACAAGAAAAGTTCTTTCTTCACATAATAGTATGTCAGCTAGCTTAAATTAGCTTTTTACTAAATAAAGCCGTTGAATAATTTTGTATTTTTATATTTTGATTATTTTAATTTTTGATGGAGTGGTTAAATAATAACTAATTTTTAGGTTTGAAAGCTTTTATAACTTAAATGCAGATTCATAACTCGGAGCACCTTTTTAATCACATCACCACTTAACATCAAGTAGGATCGTGGTGAAGCACTAGTTCAGTTATTAAAAAGTAAGCGATTTTATTCTGTAAATAAGTAGGTATAAAACGATGTTAAATCAGGTCACGTAGCTGACATCTGTTAGGTTAGTATATAGCTTTCAAACTTTTGTAGGCAAGAATCTAATCCCTTGAACGGTCTTTTGTTCCCAACTCTGTCAATATTAATTAGGATTGGGTACGCTCTGTTAACTTCACTTCCAAATTTGTGGATTTAATTTTGAACCTCTTGAATGTAAAATAAAATCATCCGAAATAAGCTTCTGTAGCAAAATATACTAAATTCTATTTGGGTTACGAGTAATTTTATGACATAAAAATTAATTACAGTAAACGTAAGCCGACAGCCGGTCGACCAGCTCACCTTCTGTTTGCTGACTTGAATTATTTATTAGTTTTTTTTTTATTAAAATTTAAAAATGTACTAGTTCCTTACTTTTTATCGCTATAGTTATGTATTGATTTCAAATATCTTGCATATATTTTCTTTTTCGTCATAGTTGTGTATGTTGTTTTTTAAAAATCTGTGATCTCAATTTTCGTAAAAAATTGATTAATTATTAAACGCGTAGAATTTTTTTCTAAAATTGGACGCTACAGTAAAAAAATTCCACCATCAGTCTATAGATGGCACTGCTATAAGTTTTTTCTGCATCAGAGCTTTCCGTCGCTAGATGTCAACGCACAAAAAAATAAATTAAAATCAATCAATTGTTATGATTGCTGTGTATTTATTACGACAAAAAAAATCTTTAAAATTCAGAGATATGTATTTGAAAAATGCGATTGTTTCATATTTCTTTTTAATATCACAAACAGTGCCATCTACATTTTAAAATAAGTTTATCGTGGCGCATCTAGCGTAAAACCAACAAAACGATATAAATGTGTATGTAGATTATGTGTGTGTGATAATTGATAACATGACGCATGACGACTGGAAACGTCACGGTGCCTGTCGCCATTACATATACTTTTTGCGATTTCTGTTGAAAGAAATTGCTTGTGTCAAGTAAACAGCGCGCGATTTGTATTCGTTTTTAAATTGAGAAGGATAGTTGACCTTGGTTTTTAACTATAACATAGTACAAACGTAAGTTTTTAAAGTGGATTTATTATTGAGTAAAAGACTGTGTTTTGCTTGTTTTGATAATTAATTATCAATTATCGAGGTGTTCAAGATGGCACCACCAAGAAGAATATTGCGCCAACAACTGGAGATTTTAATGGACTTTTTGGAAGAAAATAAAGACATGTCTAAAGGTTTGCCTCCTGGCACACCTGTGTCACACCATGCAACTCGGCAGAAGTGGGCAGCATTAGCTAAGAAACTAAATGCAGTACAAAGTGGAACTTTGAAGACACCTGACGGTTGGAAGAAAGTAAGGAACATTTTAATAACATTTAGGTAATTCCCATAGAATTCAATTATGTCTTCTTGCACTTCACTTTATTTTATAATAAAAGTTAAAACTTTCATTTAGTATTTATGATTTTGTTGGATTATTGAATAACACTCTTTGTATTACGTGTAAAATCAAGATCATAAAAAGAAAATTTTAATAAATAATGAAATTAATAAGAGTTAACTAAATATTTGTCTTATCTCAAACAATTTATATATATTTAAAGCAATAAGCAAATTCGTTATTTCTCAACTAGGATCTTTCTTTTAGTATTGGTTTGAATGGCGACATAAATGCAGGAGAAAAGCAGCAGATGGCCGAAGATTTCAATCAACCTCAGAAGGTGGTACAAATAGATTTGTACCACTCAATGACTTAGAAGTGAGAGTCTTAGAGCTTAGTGGAAAGGGATCGGTGACATCCTCAAAACCAAATACAAAACAAATAGAAGACTTTTTACCTGAGGACTCAGATTCTGAACAACAAATGATTGATGATGCTCCCATAAAACCTATTGCAAGAGTAAAGCGATCAGTTAGTGCCACAAAAGTAAATGCAGGTAAATTCACCAAATTCAACTGAATAAATATAAAATTGAGCTTTCATTGTTAGTTGAAACATTGTTCTTTATGTTAAACTTGCTGACCTTCAGAATATTTTGTTGATTGTGACTATAAATAAACTAATTATGAGTTATAAAATTTAGGTAGGATCATTATTTATGAGTTCAAATATTATTATGTAAAAAAACATTTTTTTATTTTAATTTGTTGATTACATATGAAATTTAAATATTTACAATTGCAATTATTTAATTTCAACAGATGACACATTCTCCGATGAGTCACCTCCAAAATGGGCTTTAGAATTGGAAGAAAGAAGAATATCAGCGGAAGAGAGAATAGCAGAAGCACTACAATCTATATCAAATATAATGCTAGTACAAGAAGAAAGACGGAAATTGCTCGACAATCGTATGGCAGATGCTCTAACTGCTATTGCTGGGACATTACAAGATTTAAACAGTGGCTTACAGGACACCTTACAACGCTTAATTCCTAGTGAACCAAGTTTAAAAAATGATGTATTCTATAGATAAGTTTGCATAGTGTTTCAGTAGTTTATGTGCGTGCCATTTTGTATAATAATTTGTGTATAGAAATAGTTTTTTTTACAATTAAGTTATTGATATTAAAGCTGATTATGATATAGAATTTTTTTTTTAACTGAAGGAAAATAAGAGACAATAATCAGGTAAGATGCTGAGAATTAAAGTAATAATTCTGTTCACCCAATTTATTTATTTTTTGTTATTTTGTAACATTCAGGACATGAAACTTTTTTCATCATTGCTACAGGAATATAAAAATAACTGTATTGGGTTTTTGGTAGGTATGGAGGCGTTGGAGACAAGCATCAACTACTGGGAGGACGCTCTGGCTGCGTTCTCGCTGGGCGCGCGTGGAGGCGTGTCGGGTACGCTGGCACTCACCTCGCCCGAGGAGGCGGAGTTCTGTCGCGAGATACAGGATCTGCTCCAGGACGCTTATCTATTGCAGGTCAGTACTAACACAGTTAATTTAACAGTACTCTATATTCGAGATAATTCCAGCAGTTCATAGCAAGCAAGCAAGCAAGCAATCACTATGGGAGTCTTATTCCATTCACCATTTAATATTCTTTTGCAGGAACGCTGTGAGCTACTGTTCCTGGACCAGCGCTCGGTGCTGTTCCGATCGGAGAGTGGGGGCGAGGCGGGCGCGGCGGTAGGCGGGGCGGCGGGTGCGGGGCGCACGCGGCTGCTATCACACGCTCACTCAGGCTCCTCCCACACGCACACGCGCAGGGAACTGCACTCCAGTGCCGAGTCGTTCGCCTCCGCTGAAGATCAGGTACATAAATGTGGAGTTTAAATACTAATTAACACTAGATACATAACAAAAACACTTATTACACTTTGTTTTAAGGTGGCAGATTTGAGAGAGCTGGACGACTTCGGAGAGAATGCGACGGAAACAGATAATTTAGAACTGTATCAAAGCGCTGTGAAGCAGTTGGAAGTTGGCATTCCCTACAGGTATGTTATGAAATGAATACAAACTGTATTTAGGTGGATAATTTGCACTGATTTAAGGTATTTATTATTAGTTAACTGGTCTTTGTTGACAGGACTTTGCGCACAGAGGTGGTGCAGTGTGCATCAGACTCAGAATTCCTGTGCAAGTTGCACTGCTTACGGCAGGCGAGTGCGCGCGTCTTCCGCGACGCCGCCGCCTGGGCCTGGTTCGTGGACGCCGGCCGGCAGGTGCTCACGGATCTCCTGCTTTTCGCTGACAAGGTAAATATCGTACAACGTAACTACCTACATGTGAACACAAACACGTACGCTCACACGTATGTATGTGCGTACATTTTAGCATTATATATTTATGTATAGGAGCCAAAGGAGTTTCTAGTCGCGTACGAGGAAATGGTGTCGTGGGCGACAGATGCCGCGAATTGGTCTACAATTGAAAAGGAACTAACTAGCAAGGGAGTAAAGGTAAGTGACTACAGTCATATTTAGGGTTTTTTTCTATAACTAAAATAATATAAAAAAAGAATGAACTGCTTTGTCGAGTGATAAATTTAATAGGTTAATTGGGAAATATTAGTAAATCAAAGTTACTTTAGCTTTGTGTTAAACTATGAAGTAGAAAAATGGTCCTTCAAAGGCAGGATTTATTTAACTAAATATAATCATTGTTGTTTGACGTGTCAGGTGCTGTCGTTCTATGACGTGGTGCTGGACTACATCCTGCTGGACGCATTCGAGGACCTGGCCTCTCCGCCCTCCTCAGTGCTGGCTGTCGTGCGCAATCGCTGGCTGTCTGACGGATTCAAGGAGAGCGTAAGACATCTTGCTACTCAAATAATTATTTTCAGCTTTACAACGCCCTCTTTTGCAAATTAAATATACGTTACTAATACAGTCGAAAATGGGTAAACGAGAGTTTGTGAGAGGTTTTTCTCATTTGTAAAGGTTTCTCTTTTTATAGGTCCGTCGGGAGATGACAGTGACTATTGCTTATAGAATTTTCTCGCTTAAATGACTAGAATTATAATGATTTTTGATACATACGAGTACATCATTTGATTATGAGTTTATTTTGCCTTTTTTTACATAATAAAAAGTGATGCGTCAGCTTTCTGTAATATTCCTAAAATATCAAAGTGATTCTTGCTTCTAGACATGTGCGATAAGTTTGATAATTATATTCCAGGCTCTGACGACAGCCGTGTGGTCTGTCATCAAAGCGAAGCGTCGCTACCTGCAGTACCCTGAGGGGTTCATGTCGCACTTCTACTCCATCTCCGAGCACCTGCTGCCGGTGCTGGTGTGGGGCTTCCTCGGCCCCGGGGAGCGCCTGCGAGACATGTGCGACTGCTTCCAGACCGAGGTCGTCGGCTTCATCACCGACCTCTTCAGCTTCAGCAAATGCAGGTACACCAATGTTGATGATCTGGCCGAAGATTTGATGCAGCACGCCAGGTCCAGGGTGGCCAACATCACCGACAAACTCTCCGAGAGGATTTAATAGTTTGACTTTATTTCCCTGCCATGTTTATTAGCGTAGTCATTTTGTCACTAAAGACACCCCTTAGAAAAGGCCGTTGTATAGTCTAGGACTTTTATTTCCTACCCTATCGGTGAAATTACTTGTTGTATAGTATTGGAATCTATAGGTTCATTTAGACCAAGACAAACGTATATATTTTCTCATTATTTCCCAAACGTTTGCCTTGCACCGAAACACCCGCCGGATTATGTCTGAATGATTCTTAAGTGGGAAGCGAATTTAATTCTCTGACTGTACATTCGAATTATAACCGTATTTTTATCTGGAAATGGTAAATCTTACTGTAGAACATATTCGCATCCCTTTCATTACCTTTGACAGAACAGAGACATCAATATGTATTATTACAAGTCAGTGGAGTTGTACAGTAAGATCTATTTATTTACAAAGGAAATAATATTTAGAAGGGAAATAATTTGTTTGCAGTTGATTAATTATTACTTATGACTTCTCATGAATATTATATGAGAATAGACAAAAAATAATACAGTATTAGGACAATAATCACTGAAAATGTGTATTGAATGTAAAACATTAATTATTTCAAATAGAAAAAAGACAAAGAAAACATTTTACGCAAAAAACAACAAAATAATTGTCTATCTTATTTTATTAATATAGTCGCTGCAACGTGATCCTACTATATAAAGGTCACAAAATTGTTTAAATAAGAAAAGCTTTGAATCGTTTAAAATGTATGTAATATTTATATATTGTGTATATATACTTGTTTCAATCGTATAATGTTATATTTATATACTTGTCTCTAAATCATGGTGGTAAAGTGGGCATAAAGGGTTAGGGGGTAAACCAACAAACTATTGATTTTCTCCATATACTTTTATCCAATTGGCACTTAATTTAATGATCAAATATGTTTTTGGGTTTTTTATTAAAGCTTGATTTATTTTTATTTCAAGTAGTCAATGATTTCTGTAACATAAATATTTAGACTAATAATCTCTAAATATTCTATGTTTTTTTATTGTACTTTAAGTGAAAATGTTTTAAATTTATAAGCTTTTTAATAAATATGTTTTATCGATATTAAATAACGCATTTATGGTTTGACTTCATGGTAATTAAGTAAATCTTCAAATGTATTAAAATCTGATTTAACAGACCATTATTTGCTTCGAGAGTTGTGAAATAGTGTGAATCTGTTTTTAACATGTTTATTGTTAAGATTAATTGCATTTATACATATAAAATGTAAATATGTATTGTAAACTGCCAATATTTTCAAATAGTTTTTGCTCGATAATGTATATTATGTAACATAACGTATTTATTGTATCAGTTTATTATTATTATTAATATGATAGTAAACGCGCTGTTTTATTGAGTTGACAAATCTAAATCGAGCCTTGCTACGAAAAGAGTTACATATATCTCTTAAAAGATGTAACTTTTTTCCTCATACGAATTGAAATATAATTTTGAGACTTGGGAAGCTTATCTCTTTGCTTGGTATCTCCAAAACAGCTAATATAGATCTCACTGAAATTCGGTATAGATAGAAGACCCATAGCCTGGAAAACAGATAGGCTATTAAGTTTTTTAATTCCGCTCGGATGAAGTCGCGGGCCACAGCTAGTGAGATGATAAATCTAAAACGGCCCATGTTTCGAAAACAGTTACATATCTCTTAAGAGATGTAACTTTTTTTTCTCTGATGAGTCTAAATGTATTTAAATACTTGTGAAGCTTATCTCATTATCTCTGTGAAAGAATAAAAACTAAGTCAAGTTTGTGATGGAAGGAATAGGCCAGTTCATGGATTGAATAAAACACATAGTTGGTTTATTAGAAAATTTAGTATATAATCATAATTCTCAAATAATAGCCTTTATATATTTGACAAAACATAAGAACATTAAAATTTATTTAAAATCAACGATTCATAATACTTTCACAAACAGCACCGGATTTATATTTGAATTTTAAATTATTGTAAGGTAACGTAAAGTAACGTAATTTTACTACCAAATTCTCATTTATATTATATTGAAAGTGGTAACCGATGCTTTTAACATTTATATACATTTTAGTAGCTGCGATTTTGTGTTTATTACACTTTTGCTACGTATTTCTATTCATATTTTTACAAACATGAACAGTCTTTATAAAATAAAATACCATTTATTTTAGTTAAATATTCAACATAACTTAGAAAAAAAAAAGCCTGGCAAAATATTTTAAATACCATTGTAACAAAATTTTATTTGGTTCATTGCACAGCAAAATTGCTTTTATTTGAAAAAAAAATCTTAAAAACAAAAACAATGAAAATATATATTGATTATTTAAAATAAGAATAATTTAATTGCCAGACTTATTTTGAAATATAAAAGCTTAGAGTAGTGAGAATCGACACCGAGGTGACAGGACTAGTAGCTACCACAAATATATAATGAGAGTAATCACAAACACTCAGAGAAATGCAGCCATTCATCTTATATTAAATGGAATCTATGACGTTCGTTAACGAGTCAATATTTACATCAAAAGGTTTAAGTTACGGAAAAGCCGTATATATGAATAAATATTTGTTCTATTGTAGATAAAGCAAGATAAAAATATTGCTATAATATGCAGTGTTGCCATTAATAAAGTATCAAGATAAAAGTTTATATCGTATAACGTGATTCCATATCATAGGAAACTTCCCTTCCGCATTGAATTGGACTCTAATAAATTGTGTGATTCTATTATTTTAGAAACAGACGCATTAATCGCCGCGTCCACAAACTTACCACAAAACTAAACTTTCAATTTCGTATCGCGGTCTTTTATACGCAATATTTATCACATTTTTCATAGATCCGCATTCAAATAAATAATAAAAGAGTTATATAAATAAAATATTTTGGTGAGCTAATACTTTTTAGTAAAATCCGCTAAATTAGTACAACGTTAAGCGAAAAGAATTCAACTACGGACGGCTGCCAAAACAACATTCTATTGATCATAGTCACAGCTTGTAAATGTTTTTAGAAGTTATAAAAACATAAAACGCGAGACTGAAAATGATCGCAAGCTGTAAATACTCTAATAGTAAATGACTAATAGGACATTAGCTGCCTCTATACCACCGGCCTAGCCTAGCCAATATTGTGATATTATTTAAAAATCGCCCGAACCATTGTGATAATACAAAATATTGTGATGTGCGCTACGTGCGTTAATTATACATTGCTAATAATGCGCAAAGGACGATTGTCATTTTACTTTAAATTTTGATTTAATATTTGAATTCAATTTTAGGTTAGGACCTTTTTTATTTTGTTAGGTAATTAGTTTAGTTGGAGACCTATACAACAGAAATGTAGATTGATAATCGTCCTTCGCTAACAAAATGGTGTTGGTGATGTATCGTGCGAGCGTGTGTAGAGGGCGCCAGTGTGGTGGGGGCGGGGGCGAGGGCGGGGTCGGGGCGTTACTCGGGCTCAGGCGAGTCGGGGGCGTCGGGCGCGGCGACTGTTGTTGCGGCCGCCGCGCGCGCCTTGCGCAGGTAACTCGCGCTGTCGAACTCCAGGCAAGTCTGTTGACACCACGCTCGTAAATTATTAAATATCCACCATTCAAATACTTAAGTAGTAAGTGCCACAAACTGGAACCACTTTTACTACTACTCACTAATTATTCTAATTACATACAACAATTTCGAAACATTCACTATTTCTCTCCCAATTTTCAAGTATCTTTAAAGATATGTAGCTGTACGAATTGAATACATAGTGAGGATGAAACAAAACGTTTCGAAATTGCGTAACTACAAAAACGTACAAGTCAAAAGAACAATACTGCATCATAATTGCATTTAAAAAGCGAAACAACTTACACTTTATTCAGCACCTATAAGCAATATTATCAACAATTAACTTCATCGATTTATTTTTATTGGTAAAGCCCCTACTTCGTACTAGTATAAAATGTTTTTTTGTTTTTCAAGCAGAAATGAGTAACTTTTTATGTAGAATTCATGCAATCGTCGCTTTATCATTAGATCAAAGCCGAAGTAGTAGCAAATATTTTGTAAAGCTTTTGTATTTATTTTATACAGTAGTGTAGATTGTTAATTGTTATTCAATAGTGCAAAAGATATTCATGTATAAACGAAACAAACATGCAGTGAATTCGTATCAAAGATATGTAATATTTTCCTTGATATTTGACGATAGTCCGCAATTCTTGTATATATAGAGCATGCCTGAGGCAAGCTGCGCTATACAAGTGGTGCAGCGGGCCACATAAAAGCGTTACCATCAGTTTCCATTGTCGAAACACACACATGACAGGAATAACATACAATACCTAAATTGTTTTAAAATTAAAAAGAAATAAATATGTGATGTGCATTTCGGCATAAGAAACCGTTGGTTAGAAAGTGTTAAGAATGTAAGCATTAGAAACAGTTTGTTAGTAGGTAAGCAAAAGTACAAGCAAAAGAACAAATAGCTTTAACGTTTTATTTAGAAAAAAATCAATTTGACAACGGTAAAATAACACAAAAGAATTTAACAATTAAAGTAAATCATAACAATACAAATCACCTCGACAATAACCAGAGATCAATATTTTTTTTTCAATCCGCTCATTGGATACAAGTCTACCTGTAACGAACTTCCCTCGAGTACCCGTTCTGTCCGCGCGGCAACAACAACAACAACAATTTGTTACATACAACATACATGTAATCACATCTAAGCATTCACAATCACAACATGTAATAATAAATATAGAACAAATTTAATTTCCTGTATACTTATATTAGGTACTTTGCGATAACTAATTAATCTTTAAAATTTCTCTCTAAAACTAATTTCTCAGTCTTATAAAAAGTCGATAAATTTAAATCTACACCTTAATTTTAAAAACAAACTAAGTAAAAGAATATCTTGACCATTCCGAGTCCGTGGTCTCCCTAACCGACGAGCCATGAAAGATATAGTTATAATGTGGCCATAGTAAATAAACGAGCAATTAAACAACTTTTATCATAACTTTAGTCGCGATGTATATGTCACTGGTCTTAGAACGCCTCGCTTATCCATGTTACAACTCAGAATGGCCAAGTTATTCCTAGTCTATGTAACCCATGGGCTCCGAGATAATTTCTATATTATTAATTATTCAGTCTTATTAGCACGTAATGTTAATCTTATAATGACAGCATGTACTCTTAGTTTAGGAAAGCTTAGATAAGTACGTAAGTATGCGAGCCCAAGGTTTGTACTTTAATTGTATAATTGTTAGTAAATATATTTGGCATTCATGAGTATCGTCATTTACATAGAGAGCAGGTACATAAAGCTAAAGAATCAGTTAGACAAGATGTAGGCGCAAGGTGCAGAAGCGTTGCGGATCATTGCCAGAGAGCGCAGCGTGCAATTCGAATGTGTTCGAGTCGACACAAACACGGTGAAAGTTAATCGCGGTTGCATTCATAGAACCGGAAAACTGTTCTAATTTTAAAATAAACTGGAATACGTTTCCAAAAATATAAACACATTCGAATTTGCTAAATTAAAAGCGTGCGTAATGCGAGCGCGTCGGGATCTTTTTGAAATCAAAGTTAAAATTATTTTAAATGAAATCAAAAAAACCCCTCGGTGCGGTGAGGTGAGGTGGGGCGGGGCGTGCGGCGGGTAGAGGGAGTCGGGCAGGTC